CCTGGTTTCATCGGCTGAAGAGTTAAAAGTGGGTAACAAAAAGCGAACATATACATACATACATACATACACACATACATACATATACACATACATACATACATACATACATACATACATACATACATACATACATACATACATACATACCGTACATACATACATACATACATACATACATACATACATACATACATACATACATACATACAATAATCTACATACATGCATTCGTACATACACACATACATACATACATGCATACATACATACACACATACATACATACATACACGCACACACACACACACACACAAACAACCTCTCGTCAATTAGCGTTTCTGCATTTGCAGAAATACGTAAAAACGCATAAAAAGCGCAAAAAATTACTAGCCAATTACTTAATGCCCAAGTATCTTTCATCAAAATTTTATAAAAACCCTCAATGCAATCCCTACTAAGAGGATTCACAAACCTTGACGAATTGTTCCATGACTGCCGCCTTATTTCCGTAACACTTCACTTTCAAGATACACTTTGTCTGAGAAAAATTCACCAATTTTTCTGGCTCCAAAAAAAAGACGCCACGCTTCCTCAGTTAATCATTACGATCCAGCCGTGCAAGCAAAACGGCCCTAAAAAACACATTCATTAAACGGAAAGGTGCTCGTTGGATCAAAAAATCGCGCAAAAAAAGCAGCAAGTTCAATTTATTACGCACATTTGCTACCTTGGAATGCATAAAAGCTGAATTTAAAACTGCTGGGTCGTACGCCAATGCGGAATATGCTCTTACAATTCCGGTTTTTCGGCATTTTTGGCATCAAAACTTGTCATTATCGCGACCTTAAAATGATTGACTGGGTGTGTGTGTGTGTGCACGCCTGTGTGCGTATGTGTGTGGTGGGGTGCGTATGTTAGCCAGCTATGTAATTATAATCATATTCAGGAGATTATAATTACACAAAGTACTTGAAATACGAGAGCAGAATAATAAATAAATAGCAACGCGCGCCAGGGCACCCGGTGCGATCATGCGTTTTATGAAGTCCCGTCTAGCGGACATTTGTCTGTTAAAAATATAACTGTTTTATACTTTCGTATGTGGAAAAACAGCCGATATGCGCTACGCGTAGGAAAGCTATACATGGACACGCGGGAAGGCTGAATTTAAATCATTGGTAGAGGAAAATCCCCTAAAATTTCAGCTTCCTAGATTCCGTGGTTCTGAAGAAAATCCCCACACAGCTCTCACAGAAAATGAACACGGAAGGAGTTTTGACTTTTGGCCAGTACTTATTTACAGCAAAAGGTTTGATGTAAAAAAAATTAAAAACATATTTCTGACGTGGGTTGTTATAACCAATCATCACAAAGCGCTATTTAAAAAAAAAAAATACTTTGTTTTATCGAAGTCACACAATAACTTTGCAAAAACAAATAGGCTTCATCAACATAGAGTCATCACAAGAAAACAGAAATCCCCATATTACACACCACTCGTAAAGCCTGCTTTTTCATGCGTTTTTGCATACGGGTATGTATGTGTGTGATTGTGTGTGCGCGTCTGTCTGGTTATTTCAAA